TCCAGGGACGGGCGTCGGAGACACGATAAGATAGCGTGAGAATGGACGCGGCGTGGACAGGGACCGATCAATAATTGCCACCACTCTCTCCTCCCCTACCAACCCCATTTATGCGCAGTTGACGTTTGATTGTGTGGAGCCAGCTCAGAATAAAACTATCGTTCCAGAGATCGCGTCTTCGTCTTCTTTACAAAAAGAACCTGGGGCACGCATACTCGCTTCTGTTCGAGAGAATATTTCATTTGCATGTAGCGATAGCAAATAAAAATAACCATTTAGTAGGCAGCTGTACACCCGGTAAAGACAAGGAAGACTGGAATGCCCATTTCTGGATTATTAGCCATCGTCAGCAAGTCACACCCAGACCCAAGTGGTGTCTTTGTTGGCAATACTACCAACTGTTGCCTATACTACCAGCTGTTACGGCTGTCTAGGCCTCTGTCGAGGCCCAAGGCAGAGCGGGACAGGTGAGTTCCGTTAGCGGTCAGGTGAACGTTCATAAACGAATAACCACTTTGTCTACTGTGTAAAAATTGTTACACTTATTAAAAAGCAAGGCAACTGAAGCTATCTACATAGTAGACATATAGATACTTAGATACAATGGAAATATAGTATAAATAAAGAGGCTTTTTATTAGTTGTAACGTTTAGTTCCTGTTGAATAGATAGATATAAAGCTTTAATTTTAACTCTGATCCCAGTAGAACATTAGTCTGAAGTTGAGGCTTACTTTGGCGATACCTATAACCTATCCCAATCTCTGTCAACTTTAAACCGCCTAGCAGCAAAGTAGCCACAGTCCACGAGCAGAGACTAAGTCTTGATATTAGCGGGCGTTTGCAATTGAGTCATTATCTTTTTTACACTCTCCATTCGCTTGCGAATTTTCCTGAAGCACGTCGATTGTCCGACTTTGCTCCTTATATACCGATAGTTACACCCCACCATTTTTTTATTTGAACAACAAAATTAGGCCATCTGGACGAAACGCTAGTGTCGCTTTGGAGGATGTAAACGCACGCATAGCTTTTGCGACCTATTCGTCGAGGATGCTTCCTGCTGTCCGCAGCGGTCCTCGCTTGTGAATTTCCGGTGTTACCTGTGCCGTCTGCCCATTTTTATCCACAGCGAATGTGGGAATTTGTTTGTTAGACATTATGCTGAAATTATATTTTAAAAATAAGCGTTTCTATCTCTTTCCCTCATAAAAACGAGGACGCGTCATGACGTATTTTAAGTGAACTTGTAGCAGTCTAAGTATTGGTTGCACTACAATCATCAGGCCAGAATCTCAAGTTGTAGGCAAAAGGCACCTGTGAGAGAGATGTATTGTGGGTATAGAACTCCCATTTGCTGTCTCAGGTGGCAGTGGTCACTGGCGAAGCCAGGGTTAGTGTTGACTGCGTCCAGGCAGGTCAGAGAGAGTATGAGACAGTGGTGGCAGCTGCTTAAGTAGGATTGCGGAGCAAGTTAAAGCGTTCTCCAATTGGCGCGTGTGACGTGTCTGGTGGCGTAGACTGTGTCGGCCGCGGGTGGGGGATCGGGAAATATTCAAGTGACACTTGGGCAGTCGCGACTACCTGGACGCACGTTTGTCTGTATTTGAGTGGAAGTTGGTCAAGTCTCTGCAGATCAGCGCATCTGAAGGCGCTGATTGAGACGGTGGATGACCTTGAGACAGCTGGCCTTGAACAAGGAGGCCGAAAAAAGCAATGCTGGGCGTCGGCTACAAGCGATTGGCACCAGTCACATCCAAAGCGCTACCTTTTCCTGCCCACGAATGTAGCTCTTTTGCAGCAACAAGAGACACGGCAGGTAAGTGTTCACGAATGGAGCTATGATGACGTCCGCTGACAGAACCTTTTCGTGTATAGTCTTGCGCCAGCGACATATAATTTGAGAGGTTATCCTCTCAAGCTGCGGGCAGTGACCAGCGGCAAGAAGTAGTCAGATGCGAGACAACAATCCTGACCCCACAGCAAGAGCTTGTAGTAGGTCGCCGCGTAGCTGTCCGTAGTCCAAAGAAAAGAGATTAAGATTGGAAAACCGTGTCTCGTAAGGTAGAGAGCCTTGCAATAGCTTGGTTGTGCATCGTTGGACCCTTTTAAGAATTCTGCGGTCTTTTACAGTCCACAATCTCCAGGCTTGAGTGGAAAGTTTTAATTGTGGTCACATGAACCTCCCAAAGACCTTATAAAAGAGCTACTGATTAAACATAAGCTTGACATTGCGGATTTGGCCACATTAAAGCAGTGGAGCGATAGCTTGAGGGAGGGCGTGACCACACTTCCTAGTTCCTTCTGATTCAGCTAGTACATCCCTCCGCTGTAAAATGCTGGTTCTGCCGATTCACGGAATTTTGCATTTAGTAGGACTGAATGGGGGGGGGACGAGCCAGTGGTTCGATCGTCGCTCGAGTCGATGGCAGTTTGCCCAGAGATTTGCTTCATGCCGGTTGCGGATGACCGTCGAAAGCTTTACATCATCTGTGGCAGCTGCTTCAATGCTTCCTTACTCTGGCGTCCCGGTCCCCTAGGTTTGACCTAGCAGTTGT